TTTGTCGGGTGAGTAGCGAGCGAATGTAGTATGTCGCTTACAATGAATACGTTTTTAAGACTATTTCCCAATATTTGCTATGAACCGTCGAGAAAAGCTCTTTAACTTCAGGAAGATCCCTTTGACCCACATGTTGATACCCACATATGTACTACTGGGCTGGCAGGCGCTCCTTGAGGAAGTTTGCTACATCATATAGTTCCTAGAATTAAGCGCAATTAAAACAGTTAAATAACATCTAAACTTATGTTGTAGTATGAACTGTCTTAATTAAGATTTTCACTCTTCTTATTACTAACTACTCCATGAATTGCAGATCGACCGACTATCTATTTCGCAGCAATAGAAAACCGCATAGTTAAGCCTAAAATAATGAATATGGACAAGAACAACGCTTACCTCTGGACAGCTGGAGTGGCCCATTCCATTATAGGTAATGAAGGCGACGTTCGGGTTGAATTTTTTTAGGTGTTTCGCGGTCATATCACCCCACTTCACGGGTACAAGGTCGTCGCTATTACCATGACCTAGGTAAATGTGTGTCTCCTTGTTAACGGCTACTGCTTTCGTAACCTCATCTGGCATCGGTAGCCACGTAGAGAGTCCGATAATACCTGCCAATCGATATAGAGTTGTGTTTCCCCGTATCATTAATGTACGTTCTCACACTTATGATAGGGGTTGAGTAGGTTTTGTAATGAATTGCGAACCTGTTGTACAACTAAAAAGCATACTAGAGCTATTTATTTGCTGTGTATAGCATTGATAAGAGTCCGACACTTATAAACTTTACAGTCGGCTAACTTTAATTCGATCACTATACGACAGACTGTGGATTTTTTGTTTTTTGTCACGTTACGGTATTATTGTATTATGCACTTGGCTAAACTAGTTAAAGCACAGGAACACTGATGAAAATTTGATGCACATAAGTAAAAACATTTCAAAATACGTTACTAACGTTCAGTATGTTTTGACCGTACGCTAATATATTGGTCTAGACCGCAATTTCATATGGTGACACTAACCGCCTAACTTCTTTTCGTAAGTACATCCAGCATAAAGAGCCAGAGCCCCCCCCATGCTGAAACCTCCTAGCATAATGCGATCTGATGAAATTCCTGCATTTTCCTCATCTTTAATCATTTTCTGAATGTTAACTGTAGCAGCTCTAATGCCTTCTTCATCTTGTGGTCCGCTAGCTTCTAATGAAAGGATGTTGAACCATGCTGGGATTCTCATACCGCTGTTCAACGTTACTGGAATAGTTGGCCTGTAACAATGACATAGATAATAATAATAATAATATTCCATAGCATAAATTCAGTTAGTTTATCGCAGCTTTTCTATGAATGTGGTGACTTAATGCATTCGTTAGTGTAGTGAAGGATGTATTTCCATTATCGTTTTTGATTTGTTTGTATCGTTTTTGATTTTATTCGTTTAGTATAACCGGTTCAAAATATTTTTATGTTTGAGAGAATCTTTGAAACTTTTAACAATAATGTGTTTTTTTCATTATCTTTGAAATTATACATTTCAAACGATCATTGAGTAACGCGAGAGATAATAACTGAAGGATGTGTTGTTGACACCTATATCAAATGAAGTAATTGTAAAATTAACTTCTAAGTTAAACTATTTCTTGTAATATTTACACGAAATTTTACTCACGCATGCGGACAGATGACCTTATAATATGGTGGACAAATTCGAGACAGCTGGTTACTCCAGCCATAACCCGTGTCACCCAGCCCATGCAGGAAAATCAACTATAACGGAAAATTACATCGTCAAAATCAGAAACTAACGGAACTTTATTTTTTGTTGTTTAGCTAAGTAATTTTCAGTGCGACATCAGCCTCATTTTAGATGGGTCGAGCATTAATTAACAATTCAGTTAAATATATGTTGTGGTCTAATGCTAAACAAATATTGTTTGAATTAGTTTATTTACCAGTAGGGGTTAACGCATATCACCCGAGACAAAAAGACAACAAGATAGCAGCAGCCCAGAATTTCTTAAACCAATAAATATGTCCCTAGAATGATGCCTAGTAAATGCCTAATAAATAAACAGAGTAAGACTACAACATAAGTCTTAGAGACACAATGACAAATATAATAAGCAATTACTATTAGTAACTTCGTCTTAACCTCGCTGTGGAATATTTTCTTTACCGTTTATTGATCCCAATTTGATTTCAACTTTATCTGGGGTACTGAGGATAAAAAAACGATACTGCGCTACTTAAGAGGCAAATCGTGAACAAATTTCTTTTAATAACTCAAGACACATAAGAATGTCTTTTGAGGATTGCGCTTGCAAGCCACCGCGGGAGTATTTCATTAGACTCGTTTGGCCTATTCAAAGCTGGCAACAGACGGGCCCGTTTTTTTTCCCACTAGGGATCAATATTCGATCAGGCCATTAAGCAACACTTGTACCAAATATACGCAAAATCGATTTAATCGTTACTTCCTCAGGGCGTTCAAGCTGATCTTTTTTATGGGCGGAATCGAGTTTACATTACAGAAAAAGTAGCCAGGTTTGCTATATTATAAGGGTAGAATTTTGTCAGGGTACTTGCTATAAAAGCAATTTTAGCCAGGCCGAAAGTCAAATTCTAGCATATCTTTAGGTACTAGAGGAAACGGACGATGATGTAATCTTACTTGCTTTTTCTCCATCAATAACGACGCTGCGCCGCCTTTGGTAACAGCCCGTTTCGTTAAACGGTTGCCACATGCTTGCTCTTCATTTAGCTTTGTACCGGCAGAAATAATTTACACAAGTGCTGACTGTATATAGAACGTAACTGGACAACTCGTAGAAATTCCCTGTTTTTTCTAAAAGACGGGGTCTCTCACTAGATTTATTCAACCACTCAACTTCAGACTACGAGTGCGATAACATCAGTAGCAATGCCGATCCGCAATACGTTTCTTGATACCTATTTGCTTTTGCGTTTGTTTCCATATAAAAGTCGCTAAGCAAAAGGCAAAAAAATGATCTAGGATTTCAGAATTCAGCCGCCTACACCGATTCACAGTCTGGCTTTAACTAGCTAGTCGAAACTAGGCCTTTTCCGTGCTTTTTTCAACATCAACGCAAGTAGCTGAGAATGTTCCACCATCAAGAGCTATTATTATATGCGTTCTTCTTAAAACTGGCTTAACGCTAGATGCTAAAAACAGAGCATTTATATTTCATAGAATTGAACATTTGTGTCAACCAAGAATACACTCACCTATCTATCCAGCTGGCATTATCTTTAATCGTAGCTTTCATGTTTTTTAGCGCACGCTTATCCTAGCTTACTTTATTCGGGCCATATCTAGGACCCAATTAAGGCTTCGGCTTCTATATCTAGAAAGGTTATACAGTCTGTAGGGACTGATTGAGTAATGCACGTATATTAGTAACACTGTGCTATTCAACAGCACAGAAGAATAACATATGCACATAAAATAGGATACAGCTATATGTACTATAATACGTTTCTTGGCTGATTTTATCAAGTCCGTAATGTTTAGTGACGTCAAAAGATATAGTTCATTACTTTGTTGTTATTGTGGAAGTAACACAACCACCCAGTTGACTTTTAACAGACACAGCGTATTTCTGAGGTTGATTTCACATATCGTATCAGACGGCCCTTCTGGGAGAAATAGGCGTTACTTGAGCCCAGTTACTGAGGGCGGGAGACGTGATTATAGTACAATCTTATCGTACCGCTGTGCAATTTGACTGACAATCGCCGCCCGCTTCAGGCTCCTAGACTGTATCGTCTGCGCTCTCTCTACCTGCTATTTCTGTGTGTCGATATGTTCTTCTAGTTGACTAAAAACCTCGTTTGAATTTAGAAGGGTCTACTCACGGTAGCTGAGTGGCGCGCGCTAGCTGGTATTACCACTGGACGAGAAGCCATTTTCGACTCTAGTATACCCATCCACCTCTCCTGTCGAAATAACACGGATCCGGACGCTCCAAGGGGGGAGCCCCTTAACAACAGTAGCGAAAGCGGCATCTCCCATGTCGTGTGGACTGACATAGAATGTTCGTTCAATACGCCCCATAGATAGACGTGGCTAGAAGAACAAACGGATATTACGTGTCACGACGGTAATATATCAGAATACCCGAAGCTAAGATAGATGCTGTAAAAAATTAGAGCTATTAAAATTAAGCAGTCTGGGTTCAAGTTGTAAAATTAATTTCCAGTGGGGTTAAAACATAATGCACGATGAGCTAATTGTCGCCATGCTTCTAGTCAGCGCGAAGTACCTGTTTTGCGGAGGGAATACGAAGGGAATAGAGGCAATACGTTGCTGTGGTTCTACGCGTGAGTTATCGAACTGAGTTCTCTGATAATTTGTTTGTAGTGTAGAAACAAATTGTATAGTGTAGGACAAAAACAAAATATGTATAGTGTAAAACCTTACTATGACACAAACGATGCAAATGGTAAGTCACTCCGAGTACAGAACCACAAGACCGAATAAGATTATTAAATATATCGGAACAGTGAAGGTAGATCTTAAAAATGGCACGAGTTTATTCGACTACCGATAGGGTCTAATTTATCCTTGATGAGTGGAAAAGTAACATATATGTAAAACACTTATTATACGTTCTGAGTGATCATTTTGGTAACCTAATTCACACATAGTACGTAAAACCAATCCAAAGCTCATAGCGCTATAAACTTGCTTCGTCAAATGCAGCTCCTTTTGTATATATGTGATTATCAATTATACCAAAAAATTCAGAGGACGGCGATGATACCGCTAACGAAACCTAGAATGGAAAACAAAATCAGGCCTCTGTAAACCAGTTAGTGTCTCACACCCATTACACGACAGCTATGCTAACTAAAGCTATGTTTTAAATTACATTTTATAATAGGAATCGATTTGGGCAACACCATGTACAGCATGAGGTCACTGTACCAATCAGCTGCCGGTTCGAGAGGTCCTGACATCATGATGGCGGACCTTCTATCTCGCCAGGAGACTCTCATTTCGAACATCGAACATCAAATCCTACGAGTCGATAAGATTCTCACGGAAACGGAAGTATCAGTCCGTACCAGTGCAAAATGCGGTTCGGCGGAGCCTTCGAACGCGGTTACGTGTACCTCATCGACTCCGTCCGCTGCCAAGCTCAACTTAAACTGGCCAGACATTAAGTACCCGTTGGATATTGTGGTACATGCGGATCCCACGCGACTTCCTGTTACCCCGTGGGCCTTGCGCAAATTGTTAAGTGGTTCAGTCATGATTCGGACGCATGTTCATTCGTCGTATAAGGGAGAGCTGTGCGCTGTAGAGGATGATTATGCTAACATGGATCGAACGAACGGGAAAATCAAGATCATTTTTACGCTTATATTCCGTAACATCAAGGAAATGGAGTTTATGGTCGACCCTGTCAACCAGATGGCGGTTTCTGGTGAGGCGAACCTCTTTCGGTACATCTGTCGAACGTTTCCCATATTCCCCGCCCTTGGTGTCTTCGAAGAAACTCTATCCGATCACTATATTGATGTCATCTGCTCGAACCTCATTGGTGCTAAAGTGAAGGATCAGCAGACCACATTGAATTATCTCGTTGACCAGATCGCACAAAAGGATGGGATGCTTGTCTGTAACAAACTGACCCCTGCAGACTTCTGCTTGCACGCCGCTTTGCAGAAAAGTCCCTTTTTAAGTTTACCAAGCAGCGCGCAAAAATGGCGGCGATCAGTAGCCGCAGCATTCTAAGCAGAGAAAAGTACAATGTTAAGGACTGGGTACGATAATTTTATTTCCCATGTAAGCTCAAGCGTAAATGAGTTCTTGATGGATGCAATACTCACGTGAATAGCAACGTCTAACGATATTTGCCTGTAGATTTTGTTGATGAATTTGGAAAAAAACAGGAGGCCTAGAACATGCTTCAATTTCATACATTATCTATATGATTATTTATTTGTAATGTATCTACTGATCTTCTATTGATTCGGTATTGGCTATATAATAAACGCACGTCAGTGTGATATATAGTAGTTGAGCGTTGTGCATGTAATCCATGTTGATACACCGCTTATTGCAAATGCTAACAATACACATCTCTTGAAAATCATCAATTTATATCAAAAAACAGTTGAGAAGGAATAGATTCGTTGTATAAGGGTGTAGATATGTCCACAACTATAAATGTCACAAAGCTAGGAACGCATTTGACCCTTTTCCTTTAAGCTGACCATAAATATTACAATAGAAACAACATTACATTTTACATGTCAGAACAGGTTCAATATGGCTTTTGCAGACTGCTCCATTGTTAGGCACATGCAGTAATCAAACTATCGATTTAAAAGAGCGATTTTGTTTCGAATTGGACATGTGAAATCAGATCGAGTGAGCAAATTTTCTAGCAAGCGGTCTAGTTGCGTCCTTGTCTTTGTTTGTACCTAATAGTAAAGCTAAGCTGTGGGCCATACATACGTTTCCTAAAGGGTCACAGAATGCTGTTGGCTTGTTTTTGCTAAGGGGAGAAATCAAATAATTTTATACATCGATATTTTTCAAGTAAATTCATCAAAAAAAAATATTAAACATATAGATAAATCCTTTGCTTTTACATAAGGATGAACGATGTATGAATGAGTTATAGATTCGTGCGTACAAAAAGGAATAAATGAGTACACAGTTGAAATAAATTAAACAAATAATAAAATTTATTAATTTATTAGAATACCGTTCGTGTTTTAAGTTTATATAACGTTGCGATGAAGATATTGTCGGTTCGTCCGCCTTAATTAAATTTTGTGCACGATTTTATTTTAGATATTATCCTTGCGGTACCAACTGTAATACTGATATGAATTAATCTCTCGCTAATTGAATCATCACCATTAACTTAGTTATGCGTTTCTTAGCGTCGCAGCCCCTTTTTTCATAAATACCAGTTCACTGTACACCACCGTCGCGAGACTGCGAAAAATCTTCTATCGGTTAGACTGTCGCAGAGGTAATCATTATATCAAAACTTTTTTTTATTTAGTCGGCGATATTGATTGTCGTTATTCATTTTTTGGCTATAGAATGAATACACTTTAAAATACATGAAAAAGGTAGAACAGTATTGTTTGAAAACGCACTAAAAGCAAGTCGGCACACGCGAGTGCGCTGTGTATTGTCTACGCAATGAATTGTGTTGTCAAATCTTTCAAATTTCTTGTTATAGCTGATCCATTGCTTAGATAGACTTGGATCGCCTTCTTACAAATGAGTATTTTCATCTACGCATAGATACAGCCATTACTGTGACTAGAACTAAATTTCGTATTATCGAACATGTTTGTCTTGATATAGTGCTAGGGTTGTGATAGTATAATAAATAGCAGTTGGATGAAATACGATTTTTGAATATTTTTTGGTTACAACAAAAAGCAGACGGTATAAACATGCTATCGTAGAATCAACAATATCACGTGCACAAGTCTTTGTGTTCAATAGCAAAATATTATCACACGTTATTCTCACTGATAATAGTAAATTTTGTTTGTTGGCGACAAAATGGCAGAAACGCATAGAATAATCTGACAACAGCCTTTCTTCATTCAGAACATGCGTCAATAAATTTTCTTAAATTTTATTGTATTTAATATTGTGAATAGTTTTCATTGAATGAACCCTGTTGTAGAGGGTGCGCATGAAGGAATAGCCTATCCTATGTGTATTCTCAATATATGTATATATATATCCGCCGTCCAAGTTGAGCCTTGGTGATAGTAAAATTTAAAAAAAATCGCATCAGTACCTCTACAGTAAACTAATATATATATATATATATATATATATATATATATATATATATATAGTTATTTTTATTTTCAATACTATTCTCAGTTAATGGATCGGACGTTCGGGATCTCGAATATGCAATTGATTTTTCCTTTTTTTGCAAACAGCTAAAGAAACTAGTTTGTTTCCTTGATTATTTTCAAATTCAGATTAAACGTTGGGCTGAGATTTTTTTGAAAAATTTCCTAGTCAGCAATACTTAAGGTCAATCGCATTAGTGCCTAAGAAACACGTAGCTTCGAACGATCGACCGATCAGTCAAATCACAACACAGCCGTTCGTAGCAGGCTGCGTCGCAACTAATTTATTTATTTGGGAGGCTAATTATTGTGTGATAATTAAATATCACTTTCGCTCCATGTTTTAGTTCATATGGGACGCAAAGGAGGCGAATAGCTTGACGTGTTACAGTTAAGCCCGTATCTGAAACTACTCGAAGCTACGTGGGTGAGCCTAATGTTTGGCGCAGCTCAGATAGGACATAAAAGGATCTGGACCAATAATATAATCCAGCTTTTCTAGAAACCATACTTGAATATGGCCGTATCTCATTGCTATCCGTTGTCGATGATACCTTTTTTGCGTTCGATCATTTTTGCAGTGTCATAATAGTGTTGAAAAGCAACTAGTCTTCAATGAGGCCTCATGTTTTAGTCCAGATCCCGCTCAGCTATTAAGACCGCAGCAATACATTCGCTGAAGCAGACATTAATATTGTTTGGATTCTGTTAAGAAGATACGTGCATTTTGACTGATCTGGCCTTATGCCCCTCAGTTAGTCGGAGTAGAGACCATTGTCACCCAGCGCTTATTCAACACCACAGGTAAGGTAGAAGTTGATCCTTTTGATATATTCGCTTCGTAACTCTTTAATCATCTCTGCGGTTCATCCTTGCTAACAGCTAGAATATGAAAACGGATTCTAACTAACAGTGAGTGATTGTCATTTGTCGTATTCTTAATATCATTGTTATTATCATTATTATCAACTATGGATGCCATACATTAACTGGCGCATGCACGCATCCTCAGTCGCTTGTATTCTTTCATATTTGTCAGCACACCAAGATTGCCTTACCGCCGCCGTCATCAGCGGCAATCCTACCACTATAGTTACTATTCTCTATAACATATGTATCTACGGACTGTGTAGAAATCCACTATAACGATTGAGTTTTCGATTCAAACAGTTCGAGTCATTACCACGTTTGCGCAGAAAAGGAAAAAACCTTGCTAAAATTTTCTCGCTAAAGGTCGCCCTTTAAACGCTCACATATGACGTCAGCACGCAGGCCTTTTGCAACTTACAAGGATTAGGGTTCTTTTCATTTCGTCCTGTTTAGAATGCCTTAAAGCTAGCATGCGCTTGGCTCGAAGGACATCCTTTGCCCTGATAGCTCTCGTTGATTTCGTGGAATCCTACTACTGCTGGAAGAAGCTGACGTTTGCGTCTACACCAGACCGTGAAACAGTAACTGTCATTTGCGCACTTACAACACCAGTACGTACTTTTTGGAGATTTGTCCATAAGCCTAATATGCCTAGGGATTTCGAAATTCACTCAATATTATTTAGTTTATCATCCCTATATAATGAGCTTAGAAGCATTAACACGTACTTTTTAATGAAGAACTTCTTGTAGGAATGTAGATATTTACATAGCGCCGTTCATTCGCTAACCTTACCTAATGTGAATCTGAATCATTTACCTGTTACAAGTATATAGACTGTGTCGAACGGCTGGTTAGGATGTCTGTGATTTTCAGCCCGCTATCGAATTTAGCATAGAAACGTTACAAGTGCTACGAAGATCATGTACGTGTTGCTACCCAGACGCTGTGGAATACAGTTGCGTGAAAACGATTTTGGCAATTGCTTTATTCGGTCATCATACTATATCATAATTTGCATGGGTAGAGACAACGAGAGAAACGTTACTACTTGTAGACGTACTTCGCTTATGTTTGTCATCCCGCCGGTTAAAAGTCATATCCATAAGGGACTCCATAAGACAACAATTTAGAATGTCAACAAGCAATTTAGACGCATTTCTTTATCTCCTGCGACGTTCGTGTGCAACTTTTTTACATATGAGTGTACCGCATCGTATACAGTCGCCAGGTATACAGCTGGCTGAATAAAAACGGAAAAAAGTCTCATTGTATCGCTTCTTAGTCCGCCAATTGCTACGTACGTACGTACATACTATTACTTTTCATGTTTAAAAACCTTATGCCTATTAGAAGCATAAGCAGAAATATTTGCTAATTTATCAGATAAGTGAGCTCCCGCTCAACGCCACATGTAGGAACCATTCTTACTTTTTTTAAAACTAACTAGTAATTATGATCATGTTCTTGCTACTATTATTATTATTAATAATACTGAAGGCAAGAACTTTCGGTAGTTGGCGTCCCTGTGTTGCTTGACTGTAACTGCTAGTCGCCTACTGATTCTTTCCGTCTTTCAATCTCTTCATGTGATTGTTGTATATATACACAATTGGATTTCTTTTCCCAATGAAATCTACTGGATTCTGCGTATTATACTGCGTGTTATTTTCTCCTACCATCTTTATATATATGTTCATTACTGTCCATATATACATGAGCAGTTGAAACAACCCGATGCTTAAATATCTTTCCCCCTTGCATTGTCACTATATAATATCTCACTATCAATATTTGTTGTTGCTAGTATCATAAGTATTAACCTCATTCTTAATGATCACCATGTATGATATCCTTCATTCATCGTATTTTTCTATGATTTTGCCCGCTCAGTAAATACAACGATTTTTCGTTTCGTATCAAATTCTAGGTTCTTCCCTCAACGGTATCCTCAACCCTCTCCACGTTGTCATCTTTTTCATGACCACCATTGTCAACATCTCGTGCCACTTTGTGTTACCGCCATTTTTTTCTATCATGTAATACCGCAGCGTGCCGGATCATTAACCATAAAGCACGCGATAATAACCATTTTCCAATAATCGTCGCATTTCTTTGTGAATTGTTTCGTTCCGGCTATTTCATCTATTGGATAATTTCAGTAGGTAGCACGTGAGCGTCGCTCATACTTCCTTTGTTTTCGACTTTTTTTAATCTCATCTTTTATGTTTCATAATGATTTGTCACTGAACACCATCTCAAAATAGACTTAATTTATTTGCTAGGTTAATCTAAATCTCACTAGTGGATCTTACTATGAGGCTAACACAGCTTCATCACTGGTACTCTATAATGGTATCCATAATGCTGTTTTATAAACCATTTTTGTGATTGTCATATATCATATGTAATATATAATATATATATATATATATATATATATGGTATATACAGTATGTTTGAAGTTGTAGATCTCACTGTTTATCTCACTCATGAGTTGCGTATCGATAGGGCGACTGGTTTTGTATGTCTTTGTGGCGCTATGATGCCACTGGGCATAGAATCAGGTTGGTTCCGTATACAATAACGGCACTCTACGACTTTGGAAAAACCGATTTGCCCAAAGCAATTAACCGGTCTAATCAACGTTGAATGGGCTTTTTAGAGGTATTTTCTGATAGAGTCAACCTTTCGCGAGCGCGCTTTCGATGACTTCATAAGTTTGCTTACAAATTACTCCTATCAGTTCGAGATTTTCGAATCGCACCTACCTTTGTAGTGCATGATAGTATAAGAGTCTCATGTGCACAAATACGCAAATATAGCGTACCAGTAAGAATATGGTTTTACGACAGTTTAGAACAAAATACATCGATCTTTGCGATTCCGTTCGATTGAGTTGCAGCAGCAGAACTGAAGCAATAATTCGAACAGGGGAGATCAATATTGGCTCTGTTAATTATTATTAAGGGCATTTTCATAAGCATGAATTGGCCCCAATTCAAAAACCAATACAATTACATATCTAATAAAAAGGGGACTAGTTTTTTTTTATTGCCGTTAATGAAGAAGCGTCTATTGTCTGGATGCAGTTGAGTTGTAAAAAGTTGTTCAACAATCCAAAACGAACATCCCCGAGGATTTGATGAAGTCGGATCGTGGAACCGCTAACAGGCTGATTGAAGATGGTTAAATGGTCTAGAAGTCTCACTGGCTATAGTTCAGGCCAGCCAAAATCATGCCCGACCAAAGAATAGAATTCTCGATTGAAAGGGGCGTAGAATTCTCGAAGACGAGAGATGACTGCTGGAGCGACTTTTGGGTGTTTACGTCCCTTACTCTCGTTTAGGCAGTGATCCTGAACGTCGTCTGGAGTACGCACGCAATAAAAGCCCTTCGTCTTGTTAAAATAAAATACCTCCTCCGGAATCCGAGCTTCGAGACCTGTAGGCCGCATCCAGAAAAAAAAATGCAGTTGTTTCGATGAAATATAGGTGAATATGGTTTTGCGGAATCAATATTTTGCCTTTTACATCAGCTCATAACATAGATGCAGCTTTATCATCGGTATAGGGTAAACATTGTTTAGTTAATAAACAGTACAATGCGAAAAGGTACGTTTTTAGAGAAGTACACAAGAAGTAAAAAGTCACAACTTTCTTCACAGCTAAGCCCGGGCGAAGAAAAGCTTTGCGCGATAAAAACCTGAAGCAAAGGTTACTCAATTTCTCTCTTTGCAATGTGTTAGCTTAACGTTTGTGGTAAATGATGTTTATTATATACGTATAAAATTAGTCCTTGATTATAATTTCATTCAGTAAAAATTAGATTAATTTGCGTTAATAAAAATTGATTATCATTAATATCATTAATAAAGTTGTATGCGTGTATATGTGAATAAATGTAGAATAGCTGCTTTTTATTCGTAAATATAATACTGTTATTTTAATTTCTCAAGAGAACATACACAAAAATACAAATTCTCGTCAACATGCTTCTATGAATTCTGCAACTGTCATCGGCAAACTCCATATCCGCCTTCACAGAACGCGCTTTTCTACGAACGACTGGCAGAGAGACAAGCGGGTACCACCCCATTCGTTTATCCGTCTAGCGAGTCCGCTCTCTCGCTCATGCACCTAGCTTTTAAATCTGCGCGCCATTCGGCGGGATCACTGTCATCGCCAAGCTAGCCGACGAATGGCGCCATCTTGTGTTCATAATTCTTTTTTCAAAGTACAGGCAAGATGGTACGTGATGCCCAAATTTATCCACGGAGATCGACGGCTACTGTACAGAAAATGTCATAGAATCCGTGTTGTTGATTCCTGTAATTGTCTAGAATTTATATGCGCTGCGTGAATTAGTGTGAATCCTTAAGTTTTAGTTCTGCCAAAGAGGGACGTATTCCAAGTCTTCAGCGATGTGTTACAGTGCATAGACCCCGTCACTGAAGCGCAGTACACATATTTGATTAAATTGAGCAAAGTGTAGCCACGTTGATACACGCGTTTTAGTTCGATCTGATGATTCAAACAATTTTGTTTTTTTCCCGCTATTCCCATCCTATCTTGTGAACCTTGCACAAAATCCTATGAACGAGGTTGTCTGAAAAAGAAATCTAACAAGTATGTGTTTGTGTATGTATGTTTGTATAAAGATCGGCAGATGGGTGTGAAGAATAGGGCGTAATATCTGAGTTCTGCTGCATGTAAAAGCAGTAATTCCTGACATCTAAATAGAACAAAGTTTTGGACAAAATTGTGAGACCTGTGTATATTGTTGGTTTCAGGTGAACGTGCCGAAAACTCGTCGCACCTTCTGCAAAGGAAAGTGCAAAAAGCACACAATGCACAAAGTGACGCAATACAAGAAGGGCAAAGATTCGATTTTTGTTCAGGGCAAACGTCGCTACGATCGAAAACAGAGAGGATTCGGGGGTCAAACAAAACCTATCTTTAGAAAGAAAGTAAGTGCAAAACTGAACAACGAATTTTTTTTTATTGGGAAGGTGTGTACAAAAAGAAAGTGTGTACAAAAAGAGCATTGCTTTCTTTGTAACTTTAAACAGCAGAAAATAGGTGTTTGACAAAATCTTGTCGAAGTTCTATATCAATTCAATTTATTGTTAAATAGTTGACAAATTATTGACAGAGTTCGTCCATTATTTTGTTTGTGTTTAAATCAGGTAGGTACTGGCGGTTCGATACGTCCGATAACTGTTATTAAAGCACATACAACTAGAAACGTTCTTTAACGACATGCGACAATTCTGTCTCGATGCGACCCAGTTGAAGCATTTGTTAATTACTGTGAATTCCGAATACATAGTATCTATTCCTAATTTTCGCATCTGCTAATGTATATGCATTGCATGATAAGAGTGATGTAACTCAATAAGGGTTTTCTTTACGCAATACTGTTCTACGTTCAAATATCGCTTTTTTTGCCAGAACGTTTAAAATATTCAACTGTAGTAAGAGTCGCGGTAGAATCTGCGTTGTCCGATTTACTTTTAGATTCCCATTCATGCCAGTTTCTAGATACAGATTTTTGTCTTTTTTAATGATATATGCGCCGACATTATCTCAAAATGGACCTCTTTCGACTTTTTTTTATTGTCTGGAAATCATCGTTGATACTACGAACGTTGTTGGAGCCCTACTAAAAACAAACACTGTATGGAAGAAACTTGCACACAATGCCTTTACTTAAACTTTCCCACGTTTTTTCTATCATTATTTATTTCAGGCGAAGACTACGAAGAAAATCGTTCTCCGTATGGAATGTGTCGAGTGTAAGACCCGCAAGCAGCTACCCATTAAGCGTTGCAAGCACTTTGAAATCGGAGGCGATAAAAAGAGAAAGGGACAGATGATTCAGTTCTAAACAGTTTTTTTCTCTTCAGATCTATTGTCAATAAACAACCTCGACAACACGTCGGGTGGTTTTTGGCAGAGAAGCAAAAGTGTATTCTTATTTTTGTAGAATTAGTGTAGCTAGCTAGCTAATAGGTAAGATGTAAATACAGCAGTGATTTTGGAGTGCTAATTCGGTATCATAGCGTTCTAGTTTCGGTTGAGTCGGATATTGCTATATTCGGCCTTACAGAACACGTGAACAGAAGATTTTTTTGAAAATGTATCTAGCATTGATCATTTTATTGGCAAATTGTTGATCCTTGCCCAGTTAGCTACTCAAGGCAATTAGTTTATTCAGAGCTGCATCCATTTGCCTCTCTAGCTATATCTTATGATGTCTCCGGAGAGTCACGAAGGATTTATAGTTAGAGACGCCTGAATTGTCACCAACTAAAATTGCAAAATCGGCTAGAATAATTCCACTTCCAATCTTACAAACGCATTTCTGTTTCATTGTTTTATCGTTTTGCTAAAAAATGAAGACCTGATAACTGCAAAGGATCATCGAGGTGCAGTAAGCCAAGCAGTCAATTCAGTTGCGTATATTATTGTTGTTTGCGCTTGCTGTTTATAAAGCCATTGCTCAAGCCACGTCGACTTCTATTATCGATGTAGTTTGGATAACCATATTATTTCACTCCTTTAATTCGTAGTTTGGATAATCGTAGTTTGAACTAGCTTGCTCATGCAGTCAGCAAGACATTATCGTGGTCGCCATACATGGCGTGATTAATCATTACACAATCAAACTTTCATCATTAACTATACACGATCTGCAGCGCAAAACATGCCGAAGCAGCTGCAGTCGAACAGATCGCACATCAGCTAACAACATTGCTTTGGGGTATCTGGGATTCGTAGAAAAGTACATATCGAACAGCGTTTAAGTGGTACGTGTTGCTTACTTGCACAACAGTTTGACATGAACCAGGCCCGCTTTCGTTCTGAACATTGCTGCGAGCGTTCTGGAATGCACGAAGTGGAAACCTCAGATCAAAGGAAGTCGTTGTTCAACTGAATGGCGTGGCAGCGTGTACAGTTACTGCGATAAAATAAAAGTATGAATTCAGGAGCTGGTAGGTATGCCGGACATTCAGCAGGCGGTTCTGAGATCCATCCTTAGTTAAGGGTCAGTGATCCTCTAGAATTATTTAAGATTTTAGCATAAGTAAGTCGTTTATCAGACTAAAGTGAACATGCAAAAAATAATGACTTCCTTTTTGTAATATAAACTGTGGCGTTTCCGATGCATTGAGCATATTTGTTGTTGTTTTTTTTTAGCTATTTGTTGTTTTTGGAGTGTCGTTGTGCATGAATCAATTCAAAAAAAAAGGATTGAAAGCCGTTTCTTAGATGGACTTATACGCATTACCGAATTTCCTTGATACAATATCCCTTCACTATATGGCTAGTGAGACTACAGTTGTTTTCGAATAAATAGAATTTGTAAGGCCTAAATCTTCATTTGTCATCTGTTTACATTAACGGTAACTACATATACTTTCTAAAATACTTACAGTCGCTTTAAATCAAATAGAACAGCAATAAAAAACTTAGAACGAATGTACACGATGACTAAGGTATAAAATAAATTATTAATAGCTACAAAAAATAAACCAAGTTGTTTTTCTAAGTATCACAGGTTAAACTTTGTCTATAAGCATTCGATCCAATAGAAGCTAAAAGCTTTCTACATATACAAAACAGCTTTTTAGAATTACCCGATAGCAGGAACAATCGACCTAGCAGTTACAGCAGCACACTTTTAGCGCGGACATATTGTAATATGCATATCGAACACATAAACATTAATTTTCATAAATAAGCCAAAAGTAACAGTTGCTTTTTTGACATAGGTGTATATCTTAATAAAAGTTGGGATGAGATATATGTTTATGTACGGGCTAGCGTGTAAAAGTAAATGGTACGCGCATATCAGAGGTGTCTATGTGCTTATATAATGCATATATAAGCATATTCGAAAGCAAACGATTTTAGATTAAGTTAAGGATATTGACGGCGATGAGTAGGGGGCGGACTCTGCTCTCTAAGAATGGCGACTACCAAAACCATAGGCATCTACGTTTCGTGGCAGTATAGGTTAAGCAGAAGAGTGGAAATGGACCTGAATGGGAAAGATTATCGCTCTATGAGTATATTGTATACAAGAGAAAGCAGGGACTGGGGCACTGAATCAGTAGAAGTGGAGAAGAGAATCGTCTTGAAGGGAAGTCATTTGGGAAAAAAGCGAACAGTGAATGGTGATACGGAGAAAAGAGTGGAAAGAATAAAGGGCCTATGCTGTAGTGATGCAGGGCAAGGGCCAAATAAACGGAACAAGAAACGAAATGCATACTCAACGATTAGCTTAGCACGACAGACGCTCAACCTAGCGCTGGAAGGCAATAGAACTAGCTTAAAGAGGCGAATAGAATAAAGTAGGCTGCTAGAGCATTTAGAGGGGTTACCTTGAGTAAAGAATTCTGTGTTTTCTTTCAGACCTCAGCATGCGGAAACGTGTTCGGCTCGAACGACTGTACTGCAGCACAGACACCCTATTCGACTGATCCTCCTAAATTACCCTACTCTTTGAGCTTCCCAGACTTCTCTGGACCCTCTGCTGTTCAGCGCAAAGTTACACTAGAAGCACTGTTGTTTTCTCTGTCTAATGCTTTTCCTCAGCCGGTCGCTCTAGCAACTTAGCTACTAATTACTAAACTTATTACAGTTAAGACGACGAACACCCTAAAGAAATGCCAGTCAGTCGGTTGGTCTCTAAGTTGACGTTAGTGCCGCTGTATCGTCGATGCCATCGCTGCAGCAGTAGCTCATGTGAGCTTAGCCGCGGGCACGGCACTCAGTGGAGTCTCCCGCTTCCCTGGACCCTAACCTCCTACCACTCAACATCCAGAACCTTGTAGTTCACGATCGACATCGGCGCTGCTGTTGTGAACGCGCCTGCCGCCATTGTCGAAGTAACACTATGAAGGGCACACATTTCGGCAATCATGCTTGTAGGATGTTGTCCCAGCTGCTAGACAAAGGAAAGAGCATATGTGTGGGGGGGAGGAGGGGTAATGTTGGCGTCTGGAAAAAGAGATCAAGGCGGAAGGATAGGAACCCAAAGAAGACCTAATTAGGGACATGACGATGAAAGCACGTCAACGCGTGGACGCCGGCCGGTCATTGCTACTAACCGGTACCGGTTCAGAGGGCTGCTACTTGTCTGGGTTGAGCTTCTTAACTATGTCTTTTTCCTCCGGGTATGTTTCTCTCATCAACCGGGGATGTATTTGGGGGGGGGGGGGGGGCAGAATGGTTGCAGAGGTTGTTGTGGGACTCCTGTTACAGCGGGGTTTCTGTAAGTTCGCCGTCGTCGAATTGCTGTCTTCGCTGACAGAGACACAACTAGCCGGAAATCGCTTGATCTGACTACTTGACCATAGAGCAACGGTAGAAAGACGATGGAGAACGCTTACTAAGAGTGAAACAAAGTCGTGCCCCCAGTCGGGTACGATGTGATAAAATACTAATTCAACGATTGCTTTTGCGCAGAAGAGCGTGTTAGGTCACATATGCATATTTTTTTCAATTGCTGTACAAGAAAATGCCCGTAATTAAAGAGTCGATGATGTAATTGTAACGAACTTCTCTGCATGCAAACCTACACTGCAAATATGACAAAATACACAAATATGTGTATACGATCAAACGAAAGAGAAGATATAATCTATATGACAGCCGCAATAGCCTGCAAAAGATTTCAGACAGAAAAATATTCAACGCTTCGTATGTTACTAAAATAATTTATAGAATGTATTTTTCATACGTATCACTTTTTTTTTTTCACATTATATTGATACTCGCCATTCTACGCAAAAAATTACCTTTGCTCGAGCTTCTATGCTAAAGTACTTTTCTCTTATGGGAGTATCATATGGATACGTATATAAAGAAGGGATATTTATTATTAGTTGCCGTTAGGTAGTTGTTATCAATATAACACATATTTAATTTACTACGTAAATTCGCTGGATATTTTTACCAATATAGTCACTTTTTAATAAATATCACAAATGCGGCTATAAACGCCACAGTAATAACTCGCAGACTCTGTAGCCATAATTTTAATGCTGTAAACTTGCCTCGGTTAATCAGTTTAGCTTTACTAGATTTTAAATGGGCACGAAAATCAGCCAGAAAGCGAATACTCTTATGTGACAACAGCAACATATCTCTCCTCGTATAACTAACGGACCACTATACCGTAAAATCAGTATATATTGAAAGCATACTAACCGAGAAATGCCTCCACTTTCTGCACTTCAGGAAAGGGCTCTCGAACAAGGCGGTCCCCGTCAATGACGTGGATTTGCCGCCGAGGGAAATAGGCGAGCCATCGGCGAAAGTAGACGGCATAGATTGATGTGCCAACAGGCCGGTAGTCGGTATTCACTCGGCCCTCTGCCGTCAAAACTACCTGCTCAAACTGCGGAACCTGCAAGAACGCAAACCGGTCGTGTTTCATGAGAAATAGCGGCCTAATGAACAAGACCATTTAGCACAGCCTAACACAGTCACATATCAACACAAACGCATGTAAAACAGAATGATTAATGTGATAAATCATGTTGTTGTCGTATTTCTGACGCATATATATATATATATATATATATATATATATTATGGGTATTATTTATTAATTAAGGCCGCCTATAAATTTGACACGTTGAGTTTGAATAAAGATATATCCGTATTCCGAATCATGTATCCACGTGTGGCTTTCTAATAACAGCACATATAACGATATGGTCGCTAAAAAATGATTTTTAAAGTGCGGTGGAAGGAAAGGCACTTAAACGTGCAATGCAGTGCATGTATACCCAAGCCGTTACGTATAGGTTGGATATAAAATTTCGTCTTTTTTCATTTATGGAGAGACATAGATGATTCGGGACATTGTACAGCAATTATCATTGTTGTTACGTCGTTGTATTAACCACAGATTGTGATCCACAGAAGTGAATTTCATTGATTCTCGTGGTTTTGTAATTACACATGCATTCGTGATTGGATTACGAAATAATATTACGGTAGAACAGTGAACTCTAATGGCGATCGCGAATAGAATTTGTTGAGTAGGTCAGTATGCAGTTAACACTCTAGTCCCTGTCATTAAGAGAAAGTGAAGCCAAAAATCGAACGGCGCATAACTCGCAGAAAAGACAAAATTATTCTAACTGCGCTACAAAGCGACTATTTTGTAATGGTTGCTCAGCTGCGTCAGAGGGTGACGAATCTCAAAGTCACTGTCATAAAGACCCTCCAATGTATCGGTATGAGTAGTTTTAGCCGTTATAAACCAGCAGAAAGCGTCGAATTGTGCACAGGAGTACGCGCGTTGCAAATGGGCCGAGCAATGCCCAATTGAAGACTGCAGGTAGGTCTGTTTTTCAGGTAAATCGCATTTTGAGGTTTCAGGTAGTAATGCTCAACACGGCTACAGGCGTTCCTGCGAAAGAGACCACAGGTTGTGTGTAGTCCAACAGGTCAGATATCCGAGTACAATAATAGTGTGGACGTTGATCACATATGCAAAAGCTTCACGGGAAAAACCAAAAGGAAAGTAGTGTTCCAGGTTCGAGAATGATGTCTGCACAAGAACAATGTATTCATATATGATAAGTCACTATGTAGTACGGCAAAGTGTGTCTCTAATATGTTTATTATTCTTGGTTCTTGGCATGAAAATTCAAATGAATTTTCATTTTAACTTGAGCTCTATCGAAATTTTGTGGCATTATGGAGTTACTTTCGACTCAACTCGATTATACATAGGACTTTTGGCCAATGATTTTAAATTAGATTCGTATATTATAATGCTTTACGTACATGCTGTACAACACGCTGTTGCTAGGTGTTCCTATACAGTAGATCAGATTGGATAACATTTGTAGAAGGGTCGAACGTACTTCTGCACTGTATTTCAAGTAGTAAGTGTCTATCGCTAAGAGTGACTTCATATTCGCGTACGGCTGTATAGCTAAATCGATGACTGTAAGCTAAACGTTTCCATGTCGACGCGTGTTAAAATCAAGTCTTTGCTTTAAGCAGAGTTCTGCGCTAACAAAAGAATAGCTAAGCAATGAGATTTATTTAAATAGACCGAAGATGCTAAAATGATCTTTTGGGGAGCGATAGTAAAATTTTTTAAATTAAAAAAAACGTTTATTCCAAAATTGCACATTGTCATTCTCCCGAAGAAAGCTGAAAAGCATTTGTAAATGTATTTGCAGCGTTCAGGTTGAACCTTGCCTTATTTTTGCTATCTTTATGTGCGCTTTCGCGACGCATTCGCCGGTTCTCTGCTAACTGCGCGTAATCCGAAATTAGTCGAACCACTGGATCTCGAACAATGAGTAGTAAACGAAGCGATGAATTCATTGCCCACATGCGTTCTGGTACCCGATCAGTTACGAAATACGCTGGAGACTTCTCGATTGTGATCTGTAATTATGAATGTATAACCAATTAGCGACTTAATCCTTCTGGATTTGTGCAGATCTTCACCTTGGTGTTTGCCATTAATCCGGAAGTAGGAAGTAATTATTATTAAGCTGTGTCTTCATCACATAATTAAATTCGTCCCCACCAGTGCAACCAGCAATGGGTTTTGCGGACCTATTCATGCTAGGAGGTTTCGTATGGAGCAACAAAAAGTGTAAAATAAAAGCTTAAGAATGAAGTCTTTGTTTAGAAAATTATTTAGACCACAATAAATTTACGTGCCGTGAAACTTGTACGGTTGGATTCTTGAATGCACTACAAGAGTTCACCGAGTCCTACCCTTATCGAGTAGGATTATGGGCTTTTACTGACTTGAAATCATTAAAGCTAAAGCTGCGTACGATGGAAGGGCGGACATATTTCCTGGCACACTAAACCGACTGAATTGTAACTGTAAACTGCTTACTGGACCCTTTATTGATGATTTACTACTAATTGACTAGAGACCAATTGGTTGACTAATAATTGACCATATTCGGTTCAAAAGAGATGTTTATCTTCCGCGTAAAACCTTCACACTAATGGAACCTTATTCATATTTACTGGTACAAGGTAAAGTTTTGCTTTTATCATATACCGGTAATAGAGATTTCAACCTTGATATAGTATGTAAATTTGTGTTTGTATGGCTACCTATAAATTGATTATGACTTAACGATTTACTCAACCTAAGTCCAAACAAACCTAGTTCAACCTAATAGCATAACGTTCCTACATTTACATTCGCATTCCTCTCACAATGCCGTGTGGTCGTTTAAGACAAAATCACTAAATTTGCCACCAAAGTTCTGGAAACTGACAACAAAATAGATAAGTTAAATTTTAAATGTAAAGTCTCATTCAAACGCAGTCTAAGGCGCGTAGCTTGTTGATATAATATGCGCCTAGTCCCAGTACCCTATCTGTACATCTGTTATGGATATCGTTATGATAGTTGGCAGGCATATGGAGGCTGCTCAAAGGACATGCCATGATCGCGCGCGCGTGCAGGCATCGTTATCTTAATGCAACAACGATAATGGCTTCCAAATGTATGTCGCATATCCTAAACTAGATCGTTGCTCTGTTGATCTAGATGATTGTCACAACACAATCTGTTTCTGGGGTTGAGCTTTATCTATGGCCTACAGTAGAGTAGAAAACAGAAGTGTCATGAACTGTAAGTGTATAGTGGCGGCGGCGCGCTCGAACGTTCGATATTGTTTTTATCTATAGGCAACATATTGATCATTCATCGTAGATGATACGTCTCCCCGAAGTACAAAGCTGGCTTATTTAATGATCCCACTGCATGTGATTACGGGCATTATTGTCAGAATGTTCGAATCGCGCACGGTTGATTACATATACATGATATTCATACTTGTGGAAATAATAATCATCCTGCAACGCTTAAAGAAAAGAGGCGACTCAACTGTCCATCATGAAGGTTGGCTCTGGCATGATGATACACCATCAGCTATAAATGGCGACGACAGCATGTATTCGGGCACCCCACCTAGTGTTGTATTCGTAAATGAGGTAAGTTGATTAAATGTCACTATATGACCTCTTTGATACCAACTGGGGTATATGAGAAATCGGGCACAACTGTTTTTAACGAGGATACACCCCGTGAGGATCCTTTGGTTAAAGGTACGATACTAAAGTTTGTGATGCAGTGAAAGGTATTTCGAAGTGTAATGTTATATGTGCACAGAGTGGTTAAAAAGGATATCAATTCGTAGTAATTTTATTATTTTTAAGATTGTTTTATTAAATCACCGCATAAGTGTAATACATCTATTTAAAATGTACAGGTAGATCTTTGTTAGTTGCGTCCAATCGTGAACTTGTGTTGGCTGTCAATCAATATCCTTCGCAATAGGAGCATAGACAGAAGCTCATTACCTATTTTTTTTTCTCTGCTACAGCGAAATTTTCGCTGAGCTTTTTCACGGGTAGGTGTGTGATTCACATGTTTTCAGTCCATTCAACGAGTTTGACGAGTGTTCAGCAGAGATAATGGATACCTTCTAGGGGAGTAAGTTTCCATGATAAAAGATTTAGCAAGTACAGAAAATATTTCGTTTGCCATGCCCGTTATGCCAGCTATGTTGGGTAGAAGATACATAAATGTACCGCAATACTTCACGGACTAGATGCCTAGAACAGTTCTTATTCTAATAGTTAGGAGTTACATGGCCGAATCAAACGGGATAACCCATCATAGTTTCGCAACAAGTTGGCATTAAGACATCAATTCGTAGCTCTTAAAAGTTGAAAAAAGGAACCCATCACCTATACCAGCTTTAAAAGAAAAACACACACGTTTTGCCTAAATATTTGCTTGGAAATTTCTTTATTTTTCAGAACTTGCAGATAGGACATTAACAGCAAAGGCCGTAGCCAAGATGGACTAGTGCAAAAAACACTTCTCTCCGAATTCACACCTGGCCAGAACATCAAGTACGATTCCTTTTAATCACTACGACTTAACAGTGCCAAAGATGAGAAACCCAGCCTTGATGAAAATGACGTTGCAAAAACACTGCTACGTAGCCGCTTCCTGTAGATTTATAGCGGTCGGTTCCGTATCTATACGGTTATCTGCAGACGGGCTTCTGTAAAGGTGCCCTGCTTTGGACAGAAATTTCTGATAAAGTTCCTTTCGTACAGTGATCTGATCCTCAGATAGTTGTAGGCAATGGCCTTTTAGAAATAGTGCTTAGCGCAGTATTGGAAATCAAAATGCTTTTTTTGTACCGGATACATTCGTGTATAATGTGCGCGTAAGTATTAGCCTCCCTGAAGTTACCTCAGTAGCCCATTTTATTTACAACAGCAGCAGGAAAGCAATTGTTATGGATATGGTTAAAGGCGAAGATACCTGTGTTAAACGTCTTAGGCTGTATTTGTGTTTACATACCATAGACAAATAAGTACGTATGTAGGAAATTATGGGTCTTTCGTCAGACAATAAGGATTAAGATCAAGGTTGTGTTTTGGTGTCCGATGTATATATATAATTTTAGCAATATATAGACATATAGTTCTTAAAATTAGGCGTTGTAGTAATCCTCCGCCTAATTGCATAATGTTCTCTCTAATCGCATGATGAACTGTAGGTAAAATTATATAATTTTACCTACAATTAAGTAACCTAACTAAGCTAACCAATAATTAGATTAATATTTTGACCTACATTGTTTTTGTTTCGTTTATTTTAGTTAATTGATTCAAATTTCCTACCCCTCAATGTGGTCACTTATTCGAACTAGGATTTTATTCGTAATGAAGTCTACTAAATACACAGCGCGCATCTGGAACGATAAGTCGTGTCTTCTCCAATAACTGACGTGGGCTTCCAGCTTCAGGTAAGGTCTTCAGTAGAGACGGAAATTACTCAAAGCTGCTTGGCCACTTAGGCGCGATTGAAAATAGAGAAAAAGATAGAACAGAAATAAAGCACAGCCATCAGCAAATGTGCGATTTGCAAATGCGCTGATATTGTAACAAACGCAAATGATCAAGAGCAATGTTTTCCATTATCGCTAACTCGAAGTGCTCGAGACAGCGGCGAAATGCGAATTTTCTAAATAATACAGGTTGAAGGCTGTTGCAGGCAAAGCTGCACAGATGGTCGACACGCGCGTTCACAATGTGAAAAGGGAGTTTTATGAAAAATGCGTGTTTGTCATAAAGAGTAATTGTTTGATATTGATACTACGCAGCCGTGAATTTCAGGGGAGTGAAGCGCAGCTAGGAATGAATGAGTTCCAATTTTGTTTGAAACATTCGGGCGGACGTACGCCGACTGCATGGAACATTCGTCCTTCTATCAATGAGGAAAATATTTGCCAGCGCACGAATTGCAAATTCTGGCCAATTTTACAGTCGAAATAGGAGAGCAACATGCGTGCTTTAGAAATTCGTTTTGCCTTCGTCATCTCTAGAAGCTATAATAATAATAAAATTGATCATCCATGTTCCATTTCTCAACCGCTAACATAAAACTAAAAGCTAAGGTAAAACAAAAAAATACAAAATTGCAGAGCGCGTGTGCTGTCTTAGTCTCACAATTATGTACAAGTACAACTACGAAAGCGGTATACGCAGACCAGATATACGTCAGAATCTAACCCGTATGGAGAATTCCCCAAAATATTTTGTAAGACTATTTTTTAAGCTGGCGTATGAGGCAACTGGCAACGAGACTGTTCAGAAAATGTTTAACTTCGAGGTGACCAGATAATGATCGCAGCCTGTCGTAGATCCAAAACGCGACACCAAACGCTTACTTACGGTTTAGGATATTTATGGGTATTGTGGTTTGTGGTAAGCTCGTTGCAGAACGGTAAATTGGTTATAGTTGCTTAGTGCAGATTGCAGTCAACAGAGTTGACAAGGTCCTTTATCAATGAATTGCTTGAATACGGTTAGGCGTAATAGTAGAATATATGTAAGGGTACAAATAATGCAAAATATTAATGGAGGTCTGTCTAGAACAGGAGGGCTAGGTCGATTAAATTTTGCCTTAGGAAGTCTCGTGCGCTTCTATGATTACGTGTTGCTGCTCCTGTGCTATGTGTAGTAGAGTTATCAGTATTTGGCAAATAAAAATTTTAAAACATATTTGAAAAGCTACTTAGCGGCCCACAAAGCTTGAGTAACTTTTATGCTATATGAAAAAGATTAACGATATGTTTGTATTTGAGGTGAGTCAGTTCGTACATTCTTTTGCTAGTGCTTTTAGTTAGTTTTATACTTACACCGGGCATACGATATACAATCCCATGATACGATTTCATAACATGTGCTTCGAAGAGTCTCATATTGAGCCAATAGGGAATGCTTTCGTACAGTGTGTTTTTACTACTTTTTGATGGATTCTATCAACTGCGTTAGCTTCGAGAGGTACACAAAACCACCGAGCTACGATTTTTAGCATTAAATAAGATCCTCGTTTTTGAAATCATTATTCCCTGGCGGCATCCAATTAGCTAACAGCCGTAGATAAGCGTAATATCGTGCGAATATTAACCGGATTTCGTAGGTCAGTGGAGCGTAGCGTAAAGGTTAATCGAATTGTTCGACTCACTAAATACTTACCACAATTGAATCACGAACTAGCAAGACGATGGATTTTGGTAAATACCTCATTAAGCAACGCGTTTTCATCATTGAATAGCTATGTTGGGAAGTCAGGGAATACAAAACATACAATAAGTTTTTTTTTTTATATATTCAGGTATATGGGCTTAAAATAAGCACATTTTTGAAGTTACTATGCGGTATGGCACATAGGCTCGTGGGTATGCGTATCCAGGTATAGATGAAATGTTTGTTATGTAATGCATCTTGCGGAACAATTGAATTGAACTAGGACTTTCTATTATCAAAAGAATACCGAGGGTTTAGATTGATTGGCTGTACTCGAAAAATGGTAAGCACCTTATTAGAAAGGTGTGATAGTGCTAATCTCGTGGGCGATGTCGAACTCTAAAAATCGTATCGCGAATAGTGCGCCTCTACAGTTGTAAGTGAATCTATTGCCGTAATAAATGTGTGTTCAAATTGTAAAATAAGGTACAAATAGGTTCATAGCTAGATTTTAAGTGTATGGAGTATGTCGACCCGACAAGAAGACCATCTCGAGATAACATTGTGTTCAACTCCAAAGGCCTAACATTAGTGCTTGCCAACGATTTCATTTATAATTGCTATGTGTGTGTGTATGTAATGAAATGTGAGATGGTGTGCTTTTCTGACCATGCTCGACTTTGGGTGAATGTAAAATGACTTAGTAAAGGATGGATGATATGCACGTTCGCCCGCTTGGATTCAGTTACATTCTGCGAATCCCCAAGAAAGTGGTAAAAAAATGTGAAAAGAGTCAAGGGCTTACGTATATAAATCTAGACAATTATGTGACGTATGTGATCATCCGACAGCATATGGCTAATGTTGACCTGTACGAAGCACACACCATTCTGACAGAATAGCTTCATAATTATTTATGAAACTAATTCTGTAGAAATAGCGTGCGTAAGGACGTCGCTTACGTGCATGAAAACTCGTATAGAAATTGAAAAAGGTGGATGCGCAAAAAATGCAACTTGATTGATACGTTTATTCCAAATTTTTGTTTACGTATTACCTACAAAGGAAGGAATATGATTTAAACTATTATTAATTTAAACTATATTAAATCTAACCTTAAATATGGATGGACTGATTAGAAACCATAATGTAGCTCTTAATGATTTCGATAGTCTAATGCTAAATAAAAGGTGCAGTGTAAATAATGAACAAAAATATTTGCAAGATGAAAACTCGATCACTTACATCAGTTGTACAGATACGTCGCGTTAGCTAATTTACAAAAGGCCGGGACCGCTGGTCAAAAGCCGACGTTACGTACCTACATTATGCCTTACATTAGAACCATACTCCAGAGCCGACCTATGTACGTTTTGCGATTGGACGTAAGCCTTTCGAATTTACGGCATATCTTTTTTATGATAGTACTTATTCGTTCCATACGATTTTATATACGATAGTAAATATTAGATAATAAATAGTATTGATCGTAATACTGTGGTCAAACATATAATAGTGGTCCATTGGGTTGAATAAAACCTGCAGCACGTGTTTACATCAGCAATCTGTGGGTTTATTTTGTAGGTAAACACGTACACACATGCGTACGTGATTGTAAATTATTACAAAGCATAAATTCATAAAAAAGTAACTATCGCAATGTTAATCCGGAATTAGAAGAACTGATAAAGCTCGGTGAAAGAAACGCTCGTATACCTGCTCTGCTGTTGATGACGGCATTCTCGTCCGGTACCAGTCGAGACCTAATCGATACTTTGAGTCATCATCGAAGAAGTGGACTTCGTCAGTGGCTTTTTCGATTGCAGGGTGTAGATTTAAAAACTCTAGAAGGGCCCGTGTGCCTCCTTTACGAGCGCCTAAATGGTGATATAAAACGGCTTTGTTAGAGGGTCATTGTCGCACTTATGTGTAATGCTGACTTATGCAATTTATTGCATTTTAGTACGATGGTAAACTGAAAAATAATTTAGAAATATTGCTATGAATTTTGTACGAAAAACAATTTAGAAATATTGCTATGAATTTTGTACGGATACTGTTATTCAATTTGAATTAATTTTTTTTTGAGTAAGTTCTCCTCAAAGAAAAGGCTATTATACTAGCATTAGCAATTACATAAAAGTCAACGCCCAAAGGTCTTTATTATTGTTTGTTAATGAGCTGAAGAGTACATCAATATACAACCCTAAAGTTACAACTAAAATATTTTTTGAACAAAAAAAGGCATAACTGTCCCAACTTTGACAAACAGACATCAAGTTGTCCTAGTTTCCAGATATACTCTGAAAGAGGTTGCCTTGTTTTGTAAGTAATTCTTTGCAACATATGTATTCTTATGGAACAAAACCTTTATGAGCAAAAGTCCTTAAGACGTTGCTTACCAATGATAATGCACTGGGGTAGCCTTTTGACACCTCCAGTAAGTGGTGGTATCGTCGTCTGAATGACAGAGCTGGATTGTGCAATAGCGTTAATAGCACTTGAGTTTTCCGACACTCCCACGCTTTCAATACCTCCTTCACTACCCCCGGAGTCTACTGCCAACGGCAATTCGACAACTCCTGTCGAAGAACCGACCTGCGGAAGAACCGATGCGGGTACTGACTCATTGAGCGGCGGCGTGGGTGTCGCTTGTGTGGCCTGCTTATTGTTGTCGCTGATGCGGTTCATATTGTCACGGTGACTACTTTCATCCCGGAAGTTGTCCTCTGGATGTTGGCGTAAAGACTTCGTTTGCAAGGTTAAGGATGATGTCAGATAAGCATTGCTGCTGCCGGCAACTCCATTATCTTTTGGCAATATCAGATTGGCAGCTACTCGTGCTGACTGCTGAAGCAGGCTTCTGTTTTCAACGATAGCTTTGTCTTCTTTCTCTATATTGTAGTTGATATTACTGTCTTTGGTTTTGGTGTCGACGGCCCTTAGTCCTTCAGCTGCACCACTGTCTTTTGTTCTTGCACCAATGTCCATTCCATTTTGAAGACCTCCTCCACCGGAAGCAGCTGCTGATTCTGACCCCGACACCGAAGTGGGAATTGCTGGCGGTGAGGCCGGCGGCACGTAAAAAGTGTTGCTTAAAACATCAATCCTGCTGGTGAGCGGGGGGCCGATAGAAAGACGTGTTGTGTAGTCTGGCGACGGAGGCATCGGCTGCTGTTGTAAGAGCAACACGTGCAGCAACACGAAACAGGTCGCTGATAAGGCCAGCAGAAAGAGACGTCGCGCCTGCTGGTACGCCATACTTCCTGATCCTTCAACCCATCTATAAATAGAAGGGAGAAAAGCAACAAAGGAAATGAGACAAACTAATGAAAAACGAATATTAGATGCGCGTAATGAATAGTCATTACATTTACGGCAGATTATTAAGAAATACTCTCTTTGTTTTGCCATGAAGCGAGTAGGTTCTCAGTAAAAAAATATTCATATGTTTAACGTTTATACATGGGGTATAACCCATATGAAAAGGTGTCTTGTTCTGTTAGGCTTTGGAATAAAGGAAAAATCGCTCATGACCTTGGCCAGCCCCGAGAAAGCTGTTAATTATAAAGCTCTCTTTTAACAGTTTCAGCGATTTTTCACTGCGTCAACAGGCCCTCAAATATCCTTCCTTAAATGCAGCACCAAAAGCCGGTCCGCACTGGAAGGCCTAGCCGAGGTGGGTCTTGCTCGAGTTACCTAAGATTTCTCTAACATACGGTGAAACCATTTTCCAACGGTGAAATCTGTCATGGCCGCATGGTTATGGTTAGCATGACAACACACCCAAATCACGCCACAAAGCTTGAATCCTTGAAGTTGCTAGCCTGTAAGCATGACAAATCATTTTTCGGGTTTTTTGTGAGTTGTCCATCGGCATCCGCGTATCTTTGTTGTTTCGTCATGTTTTTGCAGCTCACGCTGTCTTCTTTCTTAGTTTCACCATCCTGCAGCTTATTTTGATTATTTAGGAAACCTGTTTTGTCGTGGCTATGCCTCTGACTAAAGGAGGTCGTTATCATAATGTTCGTCCGTTACTAACAAAAGCAGCTTAAGAGGTTGTTTACCACATGTTATTGGTACGCAGTCGATCTACGTTTTATATTCCAGCGAAACTACTATATATATCTGAGCTATAAGATAATAGCATCACTTATTTCACTCGGAGTGTTCTCTTATGCAGCGCACATAGAAACTAACAAAAACAAAAATTTTAAGAGCAGACTCCTCGGATGACGGATTAACGCATACAGAAACGTAAACGGATCACAAAAATCTATAAGCATCATCTGGCATATACACATATTGTGTCAAATCGAAAGGTCGCAGTATTATGTTACTATAGTTTAAGAACAACGCCACGCTCCACTTCTGGCCAGCTTGAATCTAAGCCTCCTATGTCCACATAGGAAGCTCTGTACGTTTGGGCAATTTTCATTCTGAACGAGTGTTTAGACATCCCCCTACCATATAATAATGGCTAATCGTTTCTTTTAATGCGCCTTTTATTCAGGCTCGTATGTGTTTCTGTGCAATGTAGCACTGAACATCTCAAGTTATCATTGTCGCCATCACGGTATTGACACGGTGTACGTGGCCAATTTTTCTAACAACGAAAAACCGAATACCATAACGCTCTAGACAAAGAAAGACACAAAAAAGACGGAAACTACAAGAAGGTAAAATAAGGCGGCTCAGGTTTCCAAGGTGAATGTAAGTGACCCCTTTGTGCTGCGTACCCGTTATGCGGTGTTATGTGAATGATGAGAGTTCAGCTAGGAGATGTGTTTTTTGTGCCATGTGTGCTATTTGCGTGTTATTCTTCATATTACGTGTGGTGTCCTTCAGCGGACCCTCGAAGCAAGCCATCAACACGAATTGCGTGGGCGTCCTGTGATGACATTGGCTGGCTCGGCGATCTAGGCGCCCACTTCTGATGGGTCTTGTTCCGCCGGTGGCCAGCAGCGTCTTTATAATCAGCCCGACAATGATTGTGGCGTGGCCGTGTTAGTTGCGACCATGCTATGGCATTAGCTTGTCGCAGGCAATGGCTAGATGCTCTTTCTCTTTTACAGCGGTTCATCATCAGTAACGAACGGGACGGGGTTTAGAGACGGTGTTCTCTGGTACTCCTCAGCGACCTGGATACGTACCGTACGTACGCATCGAAGCGGAGCGGTAGTACATTGTACGCGAGTGTGGTATTCGGCATACGAAGAAAGCCGTACCGTGTTCTGAGCTAATCCTGCGGGGGGAAGGATGCTAGTGAAGAGGCAGGAGAAAGCAGGGAGACCGTTTGTGGACGATTCCTTGAGGCGATGGTTAGCTAAAATCCACCCAATTCAAGTCCGCTTGATATTCCACGCACGTCCTGCGTTTTCTTTCCTTCATCGCACACATACACATCCCCTGTCCCGTACTGTACAACGCCGCCGTTTACCCCGAACGCCTCTTATACAGCCTCCTCAAACTCCCTTTACACTCCTCAACCCTACCCCCGCAACGATGCTCTGGACTATTATTCTGTGGCTTGAGGGTCGCGCATGCAGCCTTGAGGAACGCCCTTTTACAGAGACTCTCTTTCCAGCCATCTCCGCATATTCCCTTCGTCTCACTCCCCTTCGCCCACCAGCACCTATACACTACCTACGAGTCAACCAAGTAAGCACCCGTTTCTCGCTCGACTTGTCTTCTCGTTTCGGACCATTCTGTCCGAGTTGCTTTCTCCCCTCTGGCTGGCTAGCCTCTAGCAGGCTGGCGGGCTTGTCCTGTTTACTCAGCCTGTGCGCCGTGCCCTGCCTCCGTCTGTGCCTGTGTATGTTTTCAGTAGAAAAGATGGCGAAGTGGAGCCACACAGAAGCCGGAAAACATCGGCTGAGGTAACATACTGTTGTACTGGCAGCAGTTACACTGCGCGTGTTTTTTCTGTCAATTCCTACAACACCTTTGCTGTCTATCTTATGTGTTAACTCTGTTCCGGCCTGAAGTCTGATCTTTTGTTACGTGCAGTACGTCGCTTCATGAGCCAATGTCAGACGCTGTTCATCGTGTACGCAGAACCCTCTAAACATTTGATTAAGGATTTTATGTTGAAAAAAAGCAGGGCTTTTCGTCTAAGGGACAAAGATATGTGCTCATAAGAATAGATTGTACATTGGTTGCTGAATATTCCTAAAAACAGAAAAGCTATTATTATATTAACAACTAATCAGTGTGAACTAGTCGACGCCAATGTCACCTTTTATGTACTACAAAATGTTCGTTTTGCCAGATAACGCCTTTAATCGTGATACGGGTATGGTGAGCCTTCTGGTTACGACAAAATAATCGTAAGTAACAATAGTAGGCTCTAATCCAGATGTTTACTCAATCTGGTACCAACATACCAAGTGAAATACTCTTTATGTATGCGGTTATAAAACTTCAGCCACTAAGCCTTGTTTCATATCCGCTTACATGTTTTCCCATAGATTCAGCCTGTGCTCGTTTGCGGTTCCACCGCACCATTGTTTCAAGTGTGATCAAGGGAAAATGAAGCCAAGTGAGCTGCTCCATCAGGGGGCTCCGAAGGCAACGTAGAAGCCGCCTGCGGCAAAGAAATACTGTTGCGTTATCAGTGCCGCTTTATCGGCGACTTCTGTATTTTATGCTCTTATTTCTAAAGAGAGAGCTAAAATACTTTTGCTTGCGCAAAAACAAAATGCAGCGCACCCGCTTGCAGGAATAGAGTCTTTTTTCTAAATTTTTTTTCTGAAACCCCAATACTCTGAAATTCCAATATTGGACCCCCCCCCCACTACGTTACTAACAGAACACATCTATATCGAAGCCAAATACGGCCCCTCGGACCTTCGTTCATTTTTCCTTTTTTCTACCGATTTTTCCAGTCATTATAGGGTGATCATTGTACGATTGTAATATCATATCCGTAATAAGGGTACACTTGCTATGTAGATCAAATTCGGCTAATTGCGCAACCCCAGACTTTTGCCCCGACGCTACTCTTCAGACGACTGAGTAACGCAGCATTATGGGGCTTCGACAGGGCTCGGCCAATTCTAGATTTGTTTCGCTTGTGATGTTATGCTTCTGAATGGACTAAATTTTTATATTGTGATCGACAGACTTTTAAAGGTACCGGTTGACGGATTGACTCTGCTGTCGGGGTGCACGTGAGAGGAGTTGGCTTAGCCAGCGTAGCTGAAATGTCCAAAAATTGAGTCGTCCTTTAGGCTGGTTTTCAAAGACGTTGCAGTTTGATAAAGTTAGCTAATTAATTGATTTCACTATTGGAACGTCACCATGGCTTAAGTATTTTTCAGCTCTTAAAATTTCTTTTTTGTCAAAAATATTAACACATACCTGTTTTAAGATAACGAACATTGACTGTGTTTCAAATATTTAACTGAAACTCAAAGTTTTCTTTCTAATTCTACAAAAATATTTTAATAAATCTTCATTTATATTATACTGATTGGAAGCAATATTTAATATGTTTTTAATATCGTATTGATTTCGTTCTTAATACTTCCGAAACAAAGCTCAGTGATGCTTGTATTTTTTCTCGTTTTTGGATATTTAAGCGTACTGTATTCACTCTAAGCAGACGCCAGAAGATTTAAAAATTTACAATTATTATGTATTATGTGAATAATATATAACTACTTTAAATAAAGGCACGGATATACTAGACACTTGATTCTTAAAAACTAACTTAACAAATGATTTAAGGATCGCTCGAAATTCATTCGTTTTGCCAAGATGAAATAAAACTTACAACGGGCTTTTGCCCCTTTTAAAATCAAATGCCTATTTTATTTCGTCGGAATTTGTCGACTAGCAAAAGGACCGCACTTTCAATAAACACCTCCTTCAGTAAAAGTCTTCCCGGCTCCTTCGAGTGACGTTGTCAATACAACAATTAATATATGAACATGGGTAGCATTCGATTCAACTCGGTGCGAGCTTTCAACTTATACCATAATAGCTCATCTAAGTGCAAGTTTCGTCTTTCTTCTACAACTTTCTCTAGGTATTCAGAGATATGAAACACTAACACCCCAGAAAAGGCTAAGATAAGAATAATAATATCGTTATAGCGGCATTAGCCCCGTATGGGGTGCTCTACATAGTGGGTTGTAGTGGCTATTCTGTACTGAGTCGCAGTCGAGCGGTTGTGGATCGATTTGGACAAGATGCAATGTCAAGAAGGCACCGCATTCTGCACTCACAAAAAAAAGATCTACCTTAACATTTCTCGCTCGACCATACACATCACTCCAT